GACAAAGCAGAACGGCCCCAGATGGTACTCTGACCCAGGACCCCCCCTTTTGGGGGGAAGGGATTTAAGGGAAGGGGCTATCTTTTGACGCAACTACGATGTTTATGTAATGTTCGGTCTGTGCTTATTTTGGCGTGGCAGCGACGACGATTACGATGGCGAGCACGACGACGACGAACAGCGTCTTCACACGCTGACAAGGTCGGCGGACTTTTTGCAAATGTGTTCCACGTGTGCCTTCGCCAGCGCCTACTGGACCTGGGCCCACAGCAGTTGCGTCTGCTTGACGGTCGTGTTGGCCGCCTCCATCATCTGGTGCACACTGGATCTGAAGCGCACCGACAACCAGTGGTTGCACGTATTGCCGTCGCTGTGGAGTTGGTCGGCATACGTTGTTCCCGTCGCGTTGGCAGCAGCTGAGCATCCGCCGAGGCATTCCGAGGGGACGCAGGCGGAGGAAGAGGAGGGGCAGGGAAGGACAAGAAAAGGAGGAGGAGGAAGAGAAGGAGGAGGAGGAGGAGGAGGAGGAGGAGGAGGAAGCGTCCACCAAGGCCCTCTCGCAACCACCGCATCGTGATCGCGGCTTCCGTGGCAATCTTCTTGGTCACGATTTTGGTACAGAATTTTGTTCAAGGCCGTACGGGGTGAAAGCACAGGAGGAGGAGCAGCAAGAGGACACGAATTCCAGGAACAGGAGGCGGAGGAGGAGGAGGAGGAGGTAAAGGACTGAGCAGGGTGCCAATGGTTCTCTCCCTTCCACTTTACGCGTGCCATCCTCAATCAGTGGTGGCCCTCTTCAGTGGAGGATTCGTTATCATGATGTATATGCTTCCCGGCTGCGTTTCTTCTCATAGTGGCCAATTGCCCATTGGTTCTTCCCCACGCTCCTCCTACGTATTCCTACTCACATTCCTCCTGCTTCTTCTCTCCCGCTTTCTCCTTCATAGTTCGACGTTGGGATGGCACCCAACGCTGAATCAGAAAACCTCCAGAGACAGGCTTACCACTGCGACTCGGACTTTCGCCCGCACGCAGCGACCCACTGTGCGAGCAGGGCCATCTGAGTGCCAATATTTGCGCGGTGTGCTTACCGAGTGCTCACATCGTTCGAGCCCTCATGCCATGGTCTTCGGCCGCCTGCTCACGGCGCCGGCGCCCCAGTGCAAAGTCCTAGGCGGCGTTTTCATGGCGCCTTGGGCGCCGAGCCAGGGCCAGAGCCACTGGCATTTCAAACTGAGTTGCCTGACTGAATTTGACATGCAGCGTCCAGTACTCCCTCGCTGTACTCTCATGCCGGCTTTCCCCCATCCGTCTGGCAGTCCTCCCATCGCTTCTTGTGCGCACTTATTCCACTAGTGCCTTACGCGCTGCAGGATAATCTGAACGTGTGCACACTTCCACGTATGCGGTTGTACACATGTTTGCTCCAGCGCGCTCCCATGTCGAATGTCCCCAAGAAGACCTTCAGGCCCTACAGCGCTGATACCGCGAGACACGAAGGCCTCAGAAGTGTTTGACGTGTTGTGCGCACGTTGGCTACACTAGGGAGGAGGAGGAGGAGGAGGAGGAGGAGGAGGAGGAGGAGGAAAAGGAGGAGGAGCAGCAGCAGCAGAAAGGAGGAGACAGGAGGAGGAGGAGGAGGAGGAGGAGGAAGAGGAGGCCTGCCAGGCTGGAGGAGGACGGCTTCATCATCTCGGTCACCAAGGGCGTGATCGTGTCCAGCGACGTGGAAGCTGGCAAGTGGACGGGCCACCGCCTCAGGAAGTGGGACTTCAGGTTGCGCCGCGAGGCCAAGAGCCTAGGGATCGACTTCACGCTCGGCGGCAAAACATCGTGGGGAGTGCTTCGAGGGAGGCTGGGGCGCCTGACGGTGAAGGCGTCTGAGTACACGCAGCTGAGGCGAGCGGGGGCCAAGCTTGGGGCTGTCTTCAGGTGCAGCGGCCCCGCCACCATCCTCCACGGCGCCCGTGTCAAGGGGATGCCGTCCAAAGTGCTCGACCAGGCCAGGACCATCAATGGCAAGGCGGTGGCAGGCGGGTGTGGCAAGAGGTGCAGGACGCTGCAGTTCGCCATCCAGCCTGGGCCTGGCTGGGGTCAAGACCCCGCCTACGCGGCGAACTGCCTGTCGTTGGTGACGTGGGCCAAGGCGGTGTTCGCCCAGCTCAGGCCTGTGACTAGCATGCACAAGGTCTTCGAGGCTGCGCGGCCAACCCACTGGGGGCCAGGTCACGGGGCCAGCAGGTGCGGCGCGTCTCAGCTTAGGCCGCATCGGGTGGACCGCAGAGTCGTGGGATGTGTGGATCACTGACAGGGGCGAGTCGATCGACCTGAACTCCCACAACCCGAAGATGGTCAGAACGCTGGCCGAGCGGGGAGTGCACAGGTCCCTTCTGCGAACGGTGCCCGCGCATTTTCCCGGGCAGTTGGCAGGGCCACCCGCGTTGTACCAAGTGCGGGCTGCGCTGGACGTTCTGAGGGCGCAGGGCGACGCGGAGCAGGTCGCGTTGGTCCAGAGCTTGGTGTGCGGCGGGCTGGTCTCCCAGACCGACTTGTGCGCGGAGCGAGCAGCCATCTCGACCGACTGCAGATGGTGTGACGCTGGTTTGGGCTCGCACAACCAGAGGCTCTTCGCCTGCGAGGGCACGGCGACGGTGGCGAGGGACATGGGCCTGGAAGACGTGCGCAAGGCGGGAGCTGCAGCCGACATCACGGACATGGGCTTCGCGAGGTGCCTCGTCCCGATTGGGTTGGAGGCGGCGTCCATCCCCGCGGAGGACGAGCTGTGTCTTCGAGCGGGTGTCCTTCAGCATGACGGCTTCTCGGGCACTGTCTGCATCGACGGCTCGGTCTTCTTCCCGCAGCCCATAGAGCTCACGAGGACTGGCTAGGCAGGCATCGTGGTCACGGATGATGGGAGCATCGTTGGCGGCCTGATGCGCACTGTCCCTGGGATTGTGCAGGAGATTGGCTTCGCTGAGCTCTACGCCCCGGCTCAGGTGCTGCGCGAGGCGGCCCAAGGCGAGCTCTGCGTGGCCACGGACTGCAAGAACGTGGTGGATGATTTTCGGAAGGGGCCTGCGTGGTGCAGGAGCCCCGGATGCAAGTACGCGCAGCTCTGGAGTGAGGTCTGGTTTCGGGTCCACGACATGGGCGAGCGCTTCGAGCTTCGTTGGGCGAGAGCCCACGCCAGCTGGGCCGCGGCGGGGCGCGCGGGCACGATGGCCCACTGGCACATCGGCAACCACGAGGCCGACAAGAGGGCCAAGCTAGGGGCCCAGCTGCACGCCGACGTCGAGGAGGTCGGAGAGCTCGCCAGGCGCGCGAGCAGCTTGGCGGCAGCTGCCGCGGCGCAGCTGCTGCGCCACCACGGCGATGTGCTGAAAAAGACCGCTGGCGCGGGTTGGCCCGATCGGTCGGCCCTTCCCCCGCCGTGCCCGCCCCAGGTTCCCACCCTGGTCTCGGGTCCCGATGGGCACGCCTTGGGGTGTCTTGGGCGGGCCCGGGGCTGTAACAGGTGCGGGGCCAGGGAGGAGCGAGTCGATCGTCTTCTGTAAGTTGCGCGGGGCGCACGCCCGACGGCAGACCCACCTCCTGGCCAGGCAGTGTCGCCCCCGGACGTCTCGGCCCAGGGACTCGGCCCGTCTGGGGGAGGCGACCTTGGAGCGTCCTCTGGCTGGTCGGGAGCCTCAGTCTGGTGTGTATTGGGGTCTGCCGTTTCCGCTCTCGCGTGTCTCGGCCCCTGTTCCGAGGTCCGCGGGGGCCGGGCCTGGGTTTTTGGTGGTCGCCCCCGAGGACGAAGGAGTTCTCGGCGGGGCCGTCTTCTAAAACGTTTTCCGTGCCCCGAGGCGCGAAGCTGGTGCCCTTGACCTCGCGGCGGGCCCTACAGCGGACCGCGCTTCTTAGGAACTAGAGGAACTAGAGGAGGAGAGGAGAAACATCTTTGGTCCGGAGCATTTCTCTCCCGCGGCGGCTCCTGGCCTCCTGCGCGTAAGACTGCAGTGATCCAACAAGGCTACCGATCTTCCTTCCTCCTCCTCCTCCTTCCTCCTCCTCCTCCTCCTCCTCCTCCTCCCCCTCCTCCTCTTCCTTCTCCTCCTCCAGCTCCAGCTCCAGCTCCTCCTCCTCCTCCTCCTCCTCCTCCTCCTCCTCCTCCCCCTCCTCCCTCCTCTTGCTTCCCCTCCTCCCCCCTCATCCTTTTCCTCCCCCTCCGCGGCCTGTCCGTAACCATTTTGGCTAAAGTTCGATTGCTTGCGCCTTGGCCGTCGAACTTGTTCGCGGCCGAAAGGCGGGGCTCGAAGGGGCTCTCGCGGTCGACGGGCGACCGGGCCCGTGCCTGCCAGCCCCTCCAGTGGCCCGATTGTCGATGGAAGACAATGGCCGTGGGAGCCAGGCGAGGGGCGGCAGCAGGCCGAGGGCCAGCGGCCCGAACAAGAGGACGGACTACAGCAAGTGCACGGCGCGCGGCTACGGTTGGACCTTCGTGTCGAAGGAGGCCTGCTACAAGTGTGGACGCGCGCTGGGGCCCAAGATCACCAGCCCCTGGCGCGACGAGGGTGGCCAGGCGGGAGCCAAATGGCGGGCCCAGTCCGCGGGCGTGCGGGAGCCGCCAGGCGGCGCCCGCGATCGCAGCGTCTGCCTGGCCCTCGCCGACGGCTCGGTGGCACGGCCTGGGCAGGGGTGTGGCGTCGAGGAGCTGCGGGGGCAGCTCGCGGCGTCGGTGGGCCCCGAGCAGCGGGCGTCCGTCGCGCAGCTGGAGGCGACGCTCGCCATCGCGGCGGTGCAGAAGGTGGTCGACGCTGAACAGTGGCTGGAGGACGCCAAAGCGGTATGCGACGACGCCGCCGTCGAGGTCCAGGACGCCAATGTGGGCCTGGAGCAGGCGCTCGAGGCAGCGGGGGCGAAGGCAGGCCTCGGTGAGAAGGGCAAGCAGACCAAGGCTGAGGTGCAGAAGGGCGGCCTCGACCTCTCGGCGCTGTGCAAAGGCGAGGTGCCCGACCTATGCGACGGGGGCGCGTTCGATAAGCAGGACTTGGACATCGAGCCCAGCGAGCGCGAAGCTTACGGGCAGCCTAAAGTGCAGCTCCAGGAGCAGCTACGTTCTGCAGTCCTGACGCTCTTCGGGCCAGGGGCGGCGGAGCTCGAGCGCAAGAGGCAGGAGATGCGGGCCATGCGCGACCGCCTCGCCACCAAGGGACGACGGCGCTCGCCAGCAGGACAGCCGGGAGGAGCGGCTGGAACCGATGGGGGCGCAGGCGGCGCGGCGGCCATCCCTGCGCCCAGCGACGCGCCTGGCACCGGCCCACCAGCGTCGCGGGATGGGCAGGAGGTTGCTGGTCAGCCTGTTGCTGCTGATGCTGGCGCCCCCAAGCGTGGCCGCGGCCCAGGAGGCGCCGCCGCCACGCCTGCCAAGGACAACGATG